CTGTGGGGACTATGGGGGCTGTGAGGGCTATGGGGACTACGGGGGGCTATGGGGGCTGGGGGGAGCTGTGGGGACTATGGGGGCTGTGAGGGCTATGGGGACTATGGGGACTACGGGGGACTATGGGGGCTATGGGGGCTGTTGGGGCTATGGGGGCTGTTGGGGCTATGGGGGCTATGGGGACTGTGGGGGGCTGAGGGGCTATGGGGTCTATGGGGGCTATGGGGCTGTGGGTTCAAGCTGTGGGTCCCGGCTCCCCCTCGCCCTCGCCCCCCCCCCCAGAGCACCAGAACTTCCTGGGGGAGGACCCGGTGCTGGGGCCCGTGGCCGTGTCCCTGCGGAGGGAGGAGAAGGAGGGAGCGCGGCCCCTGGTGCTGCACCGGCTCATCCTGCGGAGCAGCGCGGTGAGGGGGGGGCAAGGGGGGGGATGGGGGGGGGGGGGGGGGGGGGATGGAGGGGATGGGGGTGATGGGGGACTGGGGGGTGATGGAGGGGAAGGGGGAGATGGGGGGATGGGGGGGGGGATGGAGGGGATGGGGGCCTGGGGGGGTTTGAGGGGGAGGGTGATGGGGGCCTGGGGGATGATGGAGGGGAGGGGGGTGATGGGGGGCTGGGGGATGATGGAGGGGATGGGGGCGGATGGGGGCGGGGGGGGATGGAGGGGATGGGGGGTGATGGGGGGATGGGGGCTGATGGGGGCCTGGGGGGGATTGAAGGGAGGGGGGGTGATGGGGGGCTGGGGGGTGATGGAGGGGAGGGGGGGGATGGGGGGTGATGGAGGAGAGGGGGGGAATGGGGGGCTGGGGGTGATGGAGGGGAGGGGGGGGATGGTGGGGGATGGGGGCGTGGGGGGGATTGAAGGGAGGGGGGGTGATGGGGGGCTGGGGGGTGATGGAGGGGATGGGGGTGATCGGGGGGCTGGAGGTGATGGGGGCAGATGAGGGGCTGGGGGGGAGGGGGTGGAGGGGGGTTGATGAGGGGCTGGGGGGTGATGGAGGGGATGGGAGCTGGAGGGTGATGGGGGACCCGGGATGATGGAGCCTGGGGGGTGATGGGGGGCTGGGGGTGATGGAGGTGATGGTGGTGGATGGGGGCCTGGGGGGGATTGAGGGGGGGGGTGATGGGGGTCTGGGGGTGATGGAGGGGATGGGAGCTGGGGGTGATGGGGGTCTGGAGGTGATGGGGGACCCGGGATGATGGGGGCTGAGGGTGATGGGGGCCTGGGGGTGATGGGGGGCTGGGAGTGATGGAGGTGATGGGGGGTGATGGGGGGCTGGGGATGATGGAGGTGATGGGGGTTGATGGGGGGCTGGGGGGTGATGGAGGTGATGGGAGCTAGGGGGTGATGGGGGGCTGGGGGTGATGGGGGCTGGGGATGATGGAGGTGAAGGGGGTTGATAGGGGGTGACAGAGGCGATGGGGGGCTGGGGGGTGATGGGGCCTCGCTCTCACAGAGGGCCATGGGGGGTGCGGGAGTCAGAAGGGGGGGGGGGGCAAAGGTGCCTTGGGGTCTCCATCCCACAGGTCTGGGGGGGGGGGGGGAGGGGGGTTGGTGTCAGGTGCGGGGGGGTCCCTGGGGGTTCAGGGTGTGCGTGACCCCCCCCCCCCCCCCCAGCTGCGGGCGCTGCGGGGCTCGGTGCTGGAGGAGTCGCTGCCCCCCAGCGCCCGCCCCCCCGGAGCACGGGGGGTGCCCCCCCGGAAGCTGCTGGAGTTGGTGCTGCCCGGGCTGGGGGTGCAGGGGCTGCGCCTCGCCCCCCCCGTGCCCACAGTGCCCGAGACCCTGCTGAAGCTGGATGAGCAGGGGGTGAGCATGGGGGGGGGGGTCACACAATGGGGCTCACACAATGGGGCTCACAAAGATGGGGCTCACACAATGGGGCTCACACAATGGGGCTCACACAAAGATGGGGCTCACACAAGGATGGGGCTCACAAAGATGGGGCTCACACAATGGGGCTCACACAAGGATGGGGCTCACACAATGGGGCTCACACAAAGATGGGGCTCACACAATGGGGCTCACACAATGGGGCTCACACAAAGATGGGGATGGGGCTCACACAATGGGGCTCACACAATGGGGCTCACACAAAGACAAAGATGGGGCTCACAATGGGGCTCACAATGGGGCTCACACAAAGATGGGGCTCACACAATGGGGCTCACAATGGGGCTCACACAATGGGGCTCACACAAAGATGGGGCTCACACAAAGATGGGGCTCACACAATGGGGCTCACACAATGGGGCTCACACAAGGATGGGGCTCACACAATGGGGCTCACACAATGGGGCTCACACAAAGATGGGGCTCACACAATGGGGCTCACACAAGGATGGGGCTCACACAAAGATGGGGCTCACACAATGGGGCTCACACAAAGATGGGGCTCACACAATGGGGCTCATACAATGGGGCTCACACAATGGGGCTCACACAAAGATGGGGCTCACACAATGGGGCTCACAAATAGTTGGTGCTCACAATGGGGCTCACACATGGGGCTCACACAATGGGGCTCACACATTGGGGCTCACAATGGGGCTCACACAATGGGGCTCACACAAAGATGGGGCTCACACAATGGGGCTCACACAAAGATGGGGCTCACACAAGGATGGGGCTCACACAAAGATGGGGCTCACACAATGGGGCTCACACAAAGATGGGGCTCACACAAAGATGGGGCTCACACAATGGGGCTCACAATGGGGCTCACACATTGGGGCTCACAATGGGGCTCACAATGGGGCTCACACAATGGGGCTAACACAAGGATGGGGCTTACACAATGGGGCTCACACAAAGATGGGGCTCACGCAAAGATGGGGCTCACACAATGGGGCTCACACAAGGATGGGGGTCACAGGGATGGGGCTCACACAAAGATGGGGCTCACACAATGGGGCTCACACAAAGATGGGGCTCACACAATGGGGCTCACACAAGGATGGGGCTCACGCAATGGGGCTCACACAATGGGGCTCACACAAAGATGGGGCTCACACAATGGGGCTCACATGGATGGGGCTCACAGGGATGGGGCTCACACAAGGATGGGGCTCACACAATGGGGCTCACACAAGGATGGGGCTCACAAAGATGGGGCTCACACAATGGGGCTCACAATGGGGCTCACACAATGGGGCTCACAATGGGGCTCACACAATGGGGCTCACACAATGGGGCTCACAATGGGGCTCACACAAAGATGGGGCTCACACAAAGATGGGGGCTCACACAAAGATGGGGCTCACACAATGGGGCTCACACAATGGGGCTCACACAATGGGGCTCACACAATGGGGATGGGGCTCACACTGGGGCTCACACAAGGATGGGGCTCACACAAAGATGGGGCTCACACAATGGGGCTCACACAAAGATGGGGCTCACACAATGGGGCTCACACAAAGATGGGGCTCACACAATGGGGCTCACACAATGGGGCTCACACAATGGGGCTCACACACACAATGGGGGCTCACACAATGGGGCTCACACAAAGATGGGGCTCACACAATGGGGCTCACACAATGGGGCTCACACAAAGATGGGGCTCACACAATGGGGCTCACACAATGGGGCTCACACAATGGGGCTCACAATGGGGCTCACACAAGGATGGGGCTCACACAATGGGGCTCACACAATGGGGCTCACACAATGGGGCTCACACAAAGATGGGGCTCACACAATGGGGCTCACACAAAGATGGGGCTCACACAATGGGGCTCACAATGGGGCTCACACAATGGGGCTCACACAATGGGGCTCACACAAGAATGGGGCTCACACAAAGATGGGGCTCACACAATGGGGCTCACACAAGGATGGGGCTCACACAATGGGGCTCACACAAAGATGGGGCTCACAATGGGGCTCACACAATGGGGCTCACACAATGGGGCTCACGCAATGGGGCTCACACAATGGGGCTCACACAATGGGGCTCACACAATGGGGCTCACACAAAGATGGGGCTCACACAATGGGGCTCACAATGGGGCTCACACAATGGGGCTCACACAAAGATGGGGCTCACACAAAGATGGGGCTCACAAAGATGGGGCTCACACAAAGATGGGGCTCACACAATGGGGCTCACACAAAGATGGGGCTCACACAATGGGGCTCACACAAAGATGGGGCTCACACAAAGATGGGGCTCACACAATGGGGCTCACACAATGGGGCTCACACAATGGGGCTCACACAAAGATGGGGCTCACACAATGGGGCTCACACAAAGATGGGGCTCACACAATGGGGCTCACACAATGGGGCTCACAATGGGGCTCACACAATGGGGCTCACAGGTCTCTCTCGAGACCACCCAAGGCCCCATATGCGTGCTCCCCCCATGCGATCCCCCCCGGTCCCAGCTGTGCTTCCAGCGCAAGGTGGGGGTGCTCTACTGCCGGGGGGGGCAGGGCTCGGAGGAGGAGATGTACAACAACAAGGGTGCGGGGCCCCCCTTCGCCCAGTTCCTGGCCCTGCTCGGCACCCGCGTGCGCCTGCGCGGCTTCCCCCATTACCGAGCCCAGCTCGACACCCGCAGTGAGTGGGGGGGGGATGGGGGGTGTGGGGGATATGGGGGGTGTGGGGGATATGGGGTCATGGCGGGGATATGGGGGATATAGGGTCATGGGGGATATAGGGTCATGGGGGATATGGGGACATGGGGGATATGGGGGATATAGGGTCATGGGGGATATGGGGGGATATAGGGTCATGGGGGATATAGGGTCATGGGGGATATGGGGACATGGGGGATATGGGGGGATATAGGGTCATGGGGGATATGGGGACATGGGGGATATTGGGTCGTGGGGGATATGGGGGATATAGGGTCATGGGGGGATATGGGGGATATAGGGGTCATGGGGGATATGGGGGGATATAGGGTCATGGGGATATGGGGACATGGGGGATATGGGGGATATAGGGGGGATATACGGGGTCATGGGGGATATGGGGGGATATGGGGGGTATGGGGGATATGGGGGGCATATGGGGGGGATATGGGGGATATGGGGGGATATAGGGTCATGGGGGATATGGGGGATATAGGGTCATGGGGGGTATGGGGGATATAGGGTCATGGGGGATATGGGGGGATATAGGGTCATGGGGATATGGGGACATGGGGGATATGGGGGATATAGGGTTATGGGGGATATAGGGGATATAGGGTCATGGGGGATATGGGGACATGGGGGATATGGGGGGATATAGGGTCATGGGGGATATAGGGTCATGGGGGGTATAGGGCCATGGGGGGATATGGGGACATGGCGGGGATATAGGGTCATGGGGGATATGGGGGATATAGGGTCATGGGGGATATGAGGGGATATAGGAATATGGCGGGGATATAGGGTCATGGGGGACATGGGGGGATATGGGAACATGGCGGGGATATAGAGTCATGGGGGATATGAGGGGATATGGGAATATGGCGGGGATATAGGGTCATGGGGGATATGGGGACATGGGGGATATAGGGTTACGGGGGGATATGAGGGTATATGGGAACATGGCAGGGATATAGGGTTATGGGAGATATGGGGGGATATGAGGGGATGTGGGAACATGGTGGGGATATAGGGTCATGGGGGATATGGGGACATGGGGGAATATAGGGTTATGGGGGGATATGAGGGTATATGGGAACATGGCAGGGATATAGGGTCATGCGGGATATGGGGACATGTTGGGATATGGGGGTATATGGGAGACATGGGGAGATACAGGGTCATGAGGGATATGGGAGACATGGGGATATAATGGGTTGTAGGGAAGTGGGAATGATGGGGAGCACAGGGACATGGGTATCACTGGGGGATATAGGGGGACATGGAAGGGGATAGGGGGACACGGTGGGACCAGGGAGATGCGGATCCAGGGACACAGGGATGGGGATACAGGGACACAGAGATGGGGATCCAGGGACATTGGGAGATGGGGATCCAGGAACATTGGGAGATGGGGATCCAGGAACACAGGGATGGGGATCCAGGGACACAGGGATGGGGATACAGAAACACAGGGATGGGGATCCAGGGACATTGGGAGATGGGGATCCAGGAACACAGGGATGGGGATCCAGGGACATTGGGAGATGGGGATCCAGGGACACAGGGATGGGGATCCAGGGACATTGGGAGATGGGGATCCAGGGACACAGGGATGGGGATCCAGGGACATTGGTTGATGGGGATACAGGGACATTGGGAGATGGGGATACAGGAACACAGGGATGGGGATACAGTGACATTGGGAGATGGGGATCCAGGGACATTGGTTGATGGGGATCCAGGGCTACGGGGCCATGGTGGGTGCTGCGGTGAGCAGTGTTGGGGTGCAGCCTGTGCCCCCCCCCCCCCCCCCCAGCTGACTCCACGGGCACCCACTCGCTGTACACCACGTACCACGGCTACGAGGTGATGTTCCACGTCAGCACCATGCTGCCCTTCACCCCCAGCAACCCCCAGCAGGTCCGGGGGGGTCCCAGGGGGTTGGGGGGGGGGTCTTAGGACCATTAAGAAGCTCCCTGGGTACCCAGGAGGGGGGCCCGGAGAGCCCAAGCTCCCTATGGGGGACCCCCCCCCCTCCTCCCCCGGTCGGTTTTGGGGTGCTGACCCCCGTGCCCCCCCCCCCCAGCTGCTGCGGAAGCGGCACATCGGGAACGACATCGTGACCATCGTGTTCCAGGAGCCGGGGGCTCGGCCCTTCTCCCCCCGCGCCCTCCGCTCCCACTTCCAGCACATCTTCCTGGTGGTGCGGGCCCACGAGCCCTGCACCCCCCGCACCTCCTACAGGTGGGGGTACCCCGGATCTCGTGGGGGGGGGGGGGTCTGACATGGGTCTGAGGGGCTTGAGGGGGAGCTTGGGGGGCTCTAAAGTCTTCTGGGTGGATTCTAGGGGGGTGTCCCCCTGTCCCTTTGGGTTCTCCCCAGCCCTTTGGGTTCTCCCCGTCCCTTTGTGCTCTCCCCATCCCTTTGGGCTCTCCCCGTCCCTTTGGGTTCTCCCCATCCCTTTGGGCTCTCCCCATCCCTTTGGGTTCTCCCCGTCCCTTTGGGTTCTCCCCATCCCATTGGGTTCTCCCCGTCCCTTTGGGTTCTCCCCGTCCCTTTGGGTTCTCCCCAACCCTTTGGGTTCTCCCCAACCCTTTTGCCTCTCCCCATCCCTCTGTGCTCTCCTCATCCCTTTGGGTTCTCCCCATCCCTTTGTGCTCTCCCCATCCCTTTGAGCTCTCCCCATCCCTTTGGGTTCTCCCCATCTCTTTGGGCTCTTCCCATCCCTTTGTGCTCTCCCCATCCCTTTGGGCTCTCCCCGTCCCTTTGGGTTCTCCCCAACCCTTTGGGCTCTCCCCATCCGTTTGTGCTCTCCTCATCCCTTTGGGTTCTCCCCATCCCTTTGTGCTCTCCCCATCCCTTTGTGCTCTCCACATCCCTTTGGGTTCTCCCCATCCCTTTGGGTTCTCCCCATCCCTTTGTGCTCTCCCCATCCCTTTGGGATCTCCCCATCCCTTTGTGCTCTCCCCATCCCTTTGTGCTCTCCCCGTCCCTTTGTGCTCTCCCCGTCCCTTTGTGCTCTCCACATCCCTTTGGGTTCCCCCCGTCCGTTTGGGTTCTCCCCGTCCCTTTGGTCTCTCCCCATCCCTTTGGGCTCTCCCTGTGCTGGGCTCTCCCCACCTGGTACCCAGTGCTGATGCCCGGTACCCCATGCCCGGTACCCAATGCCCGATGCCCGGTACCCAGTACCCAATGCCCGGTACCCGGTACCCAATGCCCGGTGCCGCTGCCCGGTGCCTCCTCTGACATCCTCCCCGCAGCGTGGCCGTGGTGCGCCCGGAGGAGACGCCGCTGTTCGGGCCGGCGCTGGCCGTGGGGCAGCGCTTCCCGGGGGGCTCGGGGCTGCGCGAGTTCCTGCTGGCCAAGGCCATCAACGGCGAGAACGCTGCGGGCCGGGGGGGGCGGCTGGGGGCCATGGCGGCTCGTACCCGGTACCAGTACCTGCAGGAGCTGGCTCGGACCCACGGCACCGGTCCCCCCCCTGCCGCTCCCCCCCGGACCCTGCTCCCGGCGCTGGGCGGGCGGCGCCGGGCACCGAGGTGTGGGGCGGCAGCGGCTCTGCCTGGGGCTCTGGTGTGGGGGGCACGGGCCCGGGCTGCCCCCGATGCCCCCGACGTGCCCTGCCTGCTTGGGGTGGCCGCCGAGCGACTCGTGTTGGCGGCCCCCCGAGGGCCAGGGGTGCTCTTCAGCTGCGCATGCAGGGATGTGCTGGGCTGGGCCTTCGCCGAGGGGCGCCTCGAGCTTTTCTATGGGGCAGGGCATTGGCTCGGCCTGCGTCTGCCCCACGGAGCCGCCTCGCAGGTGGTGGCCAGGCTGCAGGTGAGGGGGGGCAATGGGGGGGGGGGGGAGGGAGGTGAGGGGGCAATGGGGGTGATGGGGAGGGAGGGAGCAATGGGGGTGAGGGGGCAATGGGGTAAGGGGCTAATGGGGGTGGTGGAGGTGAGGGGGCAATGGGGGTGAGGGGGCAATGGGGGTGATGGGGAGCAATGGGGCAGTGGGGGTGATGGAGTCACCCATGGGTCAATGCTGTGTCACCTATGGTCAGTGTCAGCCATGGGGTCAATACCATGTCACCCATGCCCACACCGTGTCACCCATGTCCACACTGTGTCACCCATGCCCATACCATGTCACCCATGCCCATACCATGTCACCCCTGGGTCAATGCCGTGTCACCCATGGGGTCAATACCATTTCACCCATGCCCACACCGTGTCACCCATGCCCATACTGTGTCACCCATGGGGTCAATGCTGTGTCACCCATGCCCACACCGTGTCACCCACGCCCATACCGTGTCACCCATGGGTCCATACCATGTCACCCATGCCCATACCATGTCACCCATGGGTCCATACCGTGTCACCCATGGGTCCATACCGTGTCACCCATGCCCACACCATGTCACCCATGGGTCCATACCGTGTCACCCATGCCCATACCGTGTCACCCATGCCCATACCATGTCACCCATGGGTCCATACCGTGTCACCCATGCCCATACCGTGTCACCCATGCCCATACCGTGTCACCTATGCCCATACCGTGTCACCCATGCCCACACCGTGTCACCCATGGGTCCATACTGTGTCACCCATGGGTCCATACCATGTCACCCATGCCCATACCATGTCACCCATGCCCATACCGTGTCTCCCCTGGGTCCACCCTGTGTCACCCCTGGGTCAATGCCATGTCACCCATGCCCATACCATGTCACCCATGGGGTCAATACCGTGTCACCCATGCCCATACCGTGTCACCCATGGGGTCAATACTGTGTCACCCATGCCCACACCATGTCACCCATGCCCATACCGTGTCACCCATGGGTCCATGACGTCTCACCCATGCCTACACTGTGTCACCTATGCCCACACTGTGTCACCCATGGGTCCATACCATGTCACCCATGGGTCCATACCATGTCAGCCATGGGGTCAATGCCGTGTCACCCATGCCCATACCATGTCACCCATGGCTCCACCCCATGTCTCCCCTTGGTCAATGCCGTGTCACCCATGGCTCCATGCCGTGTCTCCCCTTGGTCCATGCCGTGTCCCCCCGGCCCCGCCGTGCCCGCAGGCGGTGACCCGTGGCTGTGAGGCTCAGGAGCTGGCTCTGCCGCGGGGCGCCGGGGGACACCCCGGTTTTTCGGTGGACGCCGCGGGGGTCGTGACCTCGGTCACCCGTTTCTCCTTCGCCGAGACGGCCGGGCTGCGGCCCGGCGCCCGCCTGCTGCGCGTGGCCCAGCACCCACTGCCCGCACTGCCCCCCCGGCGCCTGCGCGCCCTCCTGCGCCGCCCCAAAGCCACCCTCACCCTCCTGCCCCCCGACCGCCACGGCCGGCCCCGACGGTGAGGGGGATCAGGGGGACATTGGGGGGATGGGGGGGACATTGGGGGAAATGGGGGGGACATTGGGGGAAATGGGGGGGACATTGGGGGGATATTGGGGGTAATGGGGGGGCATTGGGGGAATGGAAAAGGGGACATTGGGGGTGATGGGAGGGGCATTGGGGAGGGAAATTGGGGTGAATGGGGGGACATTGGGGGGAATGGAGAGGGGGACATTGGGGAGAATGGGGGGACATTGGGGGAATGGGGGGCATTGGGGGGAATGGAGAGGGGGACATTGGGGGGAACATTGGGGGGATGGGGGGAATGGAGAGGGGGACATTGGGGGGAAATGGGGGGGGAATGGAGAGGGGGACATTGGAGGAATGGGGAGGGGGACATTGGGGAGAATGGGGGGGACATTGGGGAAATGGAGAGGGGGACATTGGGGGGAATGGGGGGGGACATGGGGGGGATGGGGGGAATGGAGAGGGGGACATTGGGGGGAATGGAGAGGGGGACATTGGTGGGAATGGGGGGGGACGTGGGGGGAATGGGGGGGACATGGGGGGCAATGGGGGGAATGGAGAGGGGGACATTGGGGGGAATGGAGAGGGGGACATTGGGGGGAATGAGGGGGACATTGAGGGGAAATGGGGGGACATTGGGGGGAATGGAGAGGGGGACATTGGGGGGATGGGGGAATGGAGAGGGGGACATTGGGGGGAATGGGGGGGGACATGGGGGGGATGGAGAGGGGGACATTGGAGGAATGGGGAGGGGGACATTGGGGAGGGACATTGGGGGGAATGGGGGGGACATGGGGGGAATGAAGAGGGGAACATTGGGGGGATGGGGGGGAATGGAGAGGGGGACATTGGGGGGATGGGGGGGAATGGAGAGGGGGACATTGGGGGGAAATGGGAAATGGGGGGACATTGGGGGAAATGGGGGGACATTGGGAGGAATGGGGGGGACATTGGGGGGAATGGAGAGAGGGACATTGGGGGGGATGGGGGGGAGTGGAGAGGGGGATATTGGGGGCAATGGGGGGAATAAAGAGGGGGGCATTGTGGGGACTGGGGGAGACATTGGGGGAATGGGGGGGATATCGGGGGGAATGGGGGGGACATTGGGGGGAATGGGGGGGACATTGGGGGGAATGGGGGTCATTGCAGGGGCTTGGGGAGGGCAATGGGGTGCATTGGGGGGGATTGAAGCCTAAAGAAGAAGTTGGGGGGGGCATCACAGGCGTGTGGGTGCTTATGGGGGAGGTCAATGGAGGCAATGGGGCTCATGGGAGTGAATGGGGGCACGTGGGGAACACGGGGCCAAGTGGAGCCAGGACTGGACCCCGTTCCCCCCCCCAGGAGCTTCTCGGAGCTTTACGCGCTGTCACTGGAGCAGGGCCGGGGCGCGGGGGGGGACCTGGGGGGGCCCCTTGGGGACAGCAGCGACTCCGGGGGGAGCAGCGACTCCGGGGACAGCAGCGAGGGGGGGCGGGCGGGGCCCCCCCCGGGGGGGCTGCACCCCGAGACCCTGCGGCTGCTGCGCTCGCTGGCTCTGGCTGAGGACCCCGAGACCCCCCCCAGCGCGTGAGTGAGCCCCGAAAAGGGGGGGGGGGGGGAAGAACCCCCCCCACATCCCCCTGGGACCCTGACTCCCCCCCCCCCCCCACATCCCCCCCCCTTTGATCTCTGACCCCTGTGACCCCGCAGGCAGCCCCTGGTTGACCCCACCCCTGACCTCCTCCTGCCGCACCACAGCCCCTCCCCCCCCGGTGACACGGTGAGAGCTTCTGACCCCTGTGTAACCCCGTGACCCCATGACCTCTCTGTGACCCCCCGTGACCCCTTCTGTGACCTCTCTGTGACTCCATGACCTCTCTGTGACCCCTTCTGTGCCCCCCCCCCATGACCCCTGTGACCCCATGACCTCTCTGTAACCCCCGTGACCCCTTCTGTGACCTCTCTGTGACTCCATGACCTCTCTGTGACCCCTTCTGTGACCCCCCCCATGACCCCTGTGTTACCCCGTGACCCTGCCTGTGACCCCAGGACCTGTATCCCCACCTGTGACCCCTTCTGTGACCCCTTCTGTGACTCCATGACCTCTCTGTGACCCCTTCTGTGACCCCCCATGACCCCTGTGTAACCCCGTGACCCCTTCTGTGACCCCATGACCTCTCTGTGACCCCACCTGTGACCCCTTCTGTGACCACTCTGTGACTCCATGACCTCTCTGTGACCCCATCTGTGACCCCATGAGTCCTGTGACCCCCCTGTGACCCCGTGACCTGTCTGTAACCCCTCTGTGACTCCATGACCTCTCTGTGACCCCTTCTGTGACCCTCATGACCCGTGTGTAACCCCGTGAACCATTCTGTGACCCCATGACCTCACTGTGACCCCTTCTGTGACCCCCATGACCCCTGGGTTACCCCATGACCCCACCTGTGACTCCATGACCTGTGACCCCACCTGTGACCCCCTGTGACCTCTTCTGTGACTCCTCTATGACCCCATGACCTCTCTGTGACCCCACCTGTGATCCCCGTGACCCCTTCTGTGACCTCCTCTGTGACCCCCGTGACCCCTCTGTGACCCCATGACCTCTCTGTGACCCAATCTTTGACCCCCCCGTGAGCCCTGTGTAACCCTCTGACCCCTTCTGTGACCCCTGTGACCACATGACCTCTCTGTGACCCCCCATGAGCCCTGTGTAACCCTGTGACCCCATGACCTCTCTGTGACCCCCCCGTGACCCCTCTGTGCCCCTTCTGTGACCCCATGACTTCTCTGTGACCCCCTCTGTGACCTCCCCCCCCCATATGACCTCCTGTGACCCCCATGTCCCCCACTGACCCCGTGTCCCCCCAGGCAGCCCCCCCGGATGCCGACAGCCCCATGGCCCCCCCCGAGCCCAGACCCCCCCGCGTCCCCTCGCTGCGGCGCTCGCTGGGCAGGCGTGAGTGGTCCCCGTGCCCCCAAACCCCTTCCCTTTTATCCCCTTCCCATGGCCTGCATCCCATGGGATCCCCCCCATCCTCCGGGCATCCCCATGGCCCCCACCCCATGGTTGTGTCCGTCCCCCCCCAGTGCTCTCAGGGACCGGGGAGCCGCAGGAGGAGGAGTGGGAGGCCATCGCCCGCCTGGCCAGCGCCTGCAGCAGCATCCTGGAGGCACTGGAGAGGGGGGGTGAGCTGGGGGGGGGGGGGGGTCACGAGGGGCTATGGGGGCCTGGGGGGGGGGGTCACAAGGGGCTATGGGGGTTTGGGGGTTTGGGGAGGTTCTGGGGTCTTGGTCCCAGAGGGGGTGGTGGGGGTGGGGAGGCTCCTAAAGGGGGTGCTGGGGGTGTCTCAGCCCCCCCCCCCCCCATGGAGGGGGTGGGGGGGGCTCTCATCTTCATCCTCCCCCTTCCAGGGCAGCAGCTCCCAGAGCCCCCCAGCACTGGGGCCCAGCAGACCCTGAGCCAGGGGAGCCCTGAGGATGAGTATGGATGGGGGGGGGGGGGTTGAGGGGCCTTATGGGGGTGGGGGGGGGCAGGCAAGGTCCCAGCCCTGTGCCCCCCCCCCCCCCGCCCCAGGTCCCGCAGCCTCTCGGAGAAGGTGGCGCAGTTGGAGGCGATGCTGAAGCAGCTGCAGGAGGATCTCCAGGAGGTGGGGGGGTCTCCGTGGGTCTCTCTGGTCCCTATGGGTCCCTATGGTCTCTATGGTCTCTCTGGGTCTCTATGGGTCCTTATTGTCTCTATGGTCTCTATGGGTCCCTATGGTCTCTATGGGTCTCTGTGGGTCCCTATGGTCTCTATGGGTCTCTAGGGTCTCTCTGGTCTCTATGGGTATCTGGGTCTTTCTGGGTCTCTCTGGTCCCTATGGGTCCCTATGGTCTCCCTGGTCTCTATGGGTCCCTATAGTCTCTATGGGTCTCTCTGGTCTCTCTGGGTGTCTCTGGTCCCTATGGGTCCCTATGGTCTCCCTGATCTCTACGGGTCTCTATGTTCTCTATGGGTCTCTCTGGGTCTCTCTTGTCCCTATGGGTTCCTATGGTCTCCCTGGTCTCTACGGGTCTCTATGGGTCTCTCTGGGTCTCTCTGGTCCCTATAGGTCCCTATGGTCTCTCTGGTCACTATGGGCTCTATGGTCTCTCTGGTCTCTACAGGTCTCTGTGGGTCTCTCTGGTCTCTGTAGGTCCCTATGGTCTCTATGGTCTCTCTGAGTCTCTGTGGGTCCCTATGGTCTCTATGGGTCCCTATGGTCTCTCTGGTCACTATGGGCTCTATGGTCTCTCTGAGTCTCTGTGGGTCCCTATGGTCTCTATGGGTCCCTATGGTCTCTCTGGTCGCTATGGTCTCTGGTCTCTACAGGTCTCTGTGGGTCTCTCTGGTCCCTGTAGGTCCCTATGGTCTCTATGGTCTCTCTGAGTCTCTATGGGTCCCTATGGTTTCTATGGTCCCTATGGGTCCCTATGGTATCTCTGGTCTCTCTGAGTCTCTGTGAGTCTCTCCGGCCTCTCTGGTCTCTCTGGGTCTCTCTGGGTCTCTCTGGTCCCTATGGGTGTCTCTGGTCCCTATGGGTCCCTCTGGGTCTCTCTGGTCCCTATGGGTCTCTCTGGTCCCTATGGGTCTCTCCCTATGGTCCCTATGGGTCCCTCTGGGTCTCTCTGGTCCCTCTGGCTCTCTCTGGTCTCTATGGGTCCCTATGGGTCTCTCTGGGTCTCGCTATGGGTCTCTCTATGGGTCTCGCTATGGGTCTCTCTGGGTCTCTCTGGTCCCTATGGGTCTCTCTATGGGTCTCTCTGGTCCCTATGGGTCTCTCTGGTCCCTATGGGTCTCTCTGGTCTCTATGGGTCCCTCTGGGTCTCTCTGGTCCCTGTGGGTCTCTCTGGTCTCTATGGGTCCCTCTGGGTCTCTCTGGTCCCTATGGGTCTCTCTGGTCCCTCTGGGTCCCTATGGGTCTCTCTGGTCTCTATGGGTCCCTATGGTCTCTCTGGTCGCTATGGGCTCTATGGTCTCTACAGGTCTCTGTGGGTCTCTCTGGTCCCTGTAGATCCCTATGGTCTCTCTGGGTCCCTATGGTTTCTATGGTCTCTATGGGTCCCTATGGTATCTCTGGTCTCTGAGTCTCTGTGAGTCTCTCCGGTCTCTCTGGTCTCTCTGGGTCTCTATGGGTCTATCTGGTCCCTATGGGTCCCTATGGGTCTCTCTGGTCCGTATGGGTCCCTCTGGGTCTCTCTGGTCCGTATGGGTCCCTCTGGGTCTCTCTGGTCCCTATGGGTCCCTATGGGTCTCTCTGGTCCCTATGGGTCCCTGTGGTCTCTATGGGTCCCTATGGGTCTCTCTGGTCCCTATGGGTCCCTCTGGGTCTCTCTGGTCCCTATGGGTCCCTCTGGCTCTCTCTGGTCCCTCTGGGTCTCTCTGGTCCCTCTGGGTCTCTCTGGTCCCTATGGGTCCCTATGGGTCTCTCTGGTCCCTGTGGGTCCCTATGGGTCTCTCTGGTCCCTCTGGGTCTCTCTGATCCCTATGGGTCTCTGGTCCCTATGGGTCCTTATGGGTCTCTCTGGTCTCTATGGGTCCCTATGGGTCTCTGGTCCCCACGCTGTCCCCGCTCTCGCCCTGGGCAGGAGCAGGAGGCGCAGCAGCGGCTCCAGGCCGAGGTTCGGACCCTGCGCCGCAGCAACCGGCGGCTGCAGCAGGAGCAGGAGGATGCCGCGGCGCAGCTCAGCCGAGTGACGAGGCTGCTGCAGCCCCCCCCGGGCCCCCCCCCGCACCCGTAGGGTTGGGACCCCCCCAGCATCCGTCAGGGACACCCAGGACCCTGGGGCCGTGCATGCGGTGTGCATGTGTGGGGCACGCTCACACCTTGGGCACACTCGCTTTGTGCATGCTGACAGGGCAGCCCGGTGAGCATCCACCCCGCATGCACCCCACACCCCCCCCCATGCACACTTACACCTTGAGCACCCCATTCACTCCCCATTCACAAGCACCCATTCACTCCCCATTCACAAGCACCCATTCACACCCCATTCACACACCTCACACACCCCCCCTTGCACACTCACACCTTGAGCACCCCATTCACTCCCCATTCACAAGCACCCATTCACACTCCCCCCCCTGCACACTCAGGCCTTGAGCATCCCATTCACAAGCACCCACTCACACCCCATTAACACACCTCACACACCCCCCTTGCACACTCACACCTTGTGCACCCAAGCACCCATTCCTGCACCCCATCACTCCCCACACAGCTCACACCTTGTGCACCCCATTCACTCCCTATACACAAGCACCCATTCACACCCCATTCACACTCCCCCCACCCAACACTCACACCTTTTGCACCCCATTCACAAGCACCCATTCACACCCCCTGCACACTCCCCCCACCACACGCTCACACCTTGTGCACCCCATTCACTCCCCATACACAAGCACCCATTCACACCCCATTCACACTCCCCCCACCGCACACTCACACCTTTTGCACCCCATTCACGCCCCATTCACAAGCACCCATTCACACCCCATTCACACACACACTTAAACCCACTCACACCTTGTGCACCCGATTCACACCCTATTCACAAGCACCCATTCACACCCCATTCACACTCCCCCTGTGGACACTCACACCTTGTGCACCCCATTCACTCCCCATTCACAAGCATCCATTCACACTTCCCCCACACACACACACACTCACACCTTGTGCACCCGATTCACACCCTATACACAAGCACCCATTCACACCCCATTCACACTCCCCCTGTGGACACTCACACCTTGTGCACCCCATTCACTCCCCATTCACAAGCACCCATTCACACTTCCCACACACACACACACACTCACACCTTGTGCACCCCATTCACTCCCCATTCACAAGCACCCATTCACACCCCATTCACACTTCACACTCCCCCCACCGCACACTCACACCTTTTGCACCCCATTCACGCCCCATTGGAGCCCACAAGCACCCATTCACACACCATTCCCCCCCCCCACACACTCACACCTTGTGCCTCCTCACCCCTGCCATTCACAAGCACCCATTCACACCCCATTCACACAGCCCCATTGGCACACTCACAGCACCCCATTCACACCCCATTCACAGCCCATTCCCCTATAGCCCCCCCACACACACACACACCTTGTGCACCCCATTCCCCAAGCACAAGCACCCATTCACACCCCACCCCACATAGCCCCATCCCTTATAGCCCACATCCCCTGTAACCCCATCCCTTATAACCCCATCTAACTGTGAAACCAAAGCTCTGACAACTCCCCACCCCATAACACCCCATCCCCTAGGAGGGCCATATCTGGGGATATCCCCCCTCCCCCAATAAAGCCTTTGGCCTCCTCAGCCTCAGCTGCCATGGGGGGGCAGAGATGGAACCTTACAGCCCCCCATCCCCCACAGCCCCATTCCCTATACCCCCCTATCTCTTATGGCCCCCACCCCATATAGCCCCATCCCCTATAGGCCCATATCCCCTATAGCCCCCACCCCATATAACCCCATCCTCAATAACCCCATCCCCTATAGCCCCCCATCTCTTATAGCCCCCACCCCATATAGCCCCATCCCTTATAGCCCACATCCCCTGTAACCCCATCCCTTATAACCCCATCCCCTATAGCCCCCCATCTCTTATAGCCCCCACCCCATATAGCCCCATCCCCTATAGCCCACACCCCTGTGAATCTCTTATAACCCCCCCCTATAGCCCCCCATCTCTTATAGCCCCACCCCATATAGCCCCATCCCTTATAGCACCCCATCCCTTATAACCCCATCCCTTATCCTCTTATAGCCCCCACCCCATATAGCCCCATCCCTTATAGCCCACACCCCTATAACCCCATCCCTTATAACCCCATCCCCTATAGCCCCCCATCTCCCCCACCCCATATAGCCCCATCCTTTATAGCCCACATCCCTGTAACCCCATCCCTTATAACCCCATCCCCTATAGACCCCCATCTCTTATAGCCCCCACCCCATATAGCCCCATCCCTTATAGCCCACATCCCCAGTAGCCCCATCCCTTATAACCCCATCCTCTATAAAACCCCATCCACTATAGCCCCCACCCCTATAGCCCCATCCTTTATAGCCCACATCCCTGTAACCCCACCCCCTATAGACCCCATCTCTTATAGCCCCCACCCCATATAGCTCCATCCCTTATAGCCCACATCCCCTGTAACCCCATCCCTTATAACCCCATCCCCTATAGCCCTCCATCTCTTATAGCCCCCACCCCATATAGCCCCATCCCTTATAGCCCACATCCCTGTAACCCCATCCCTTATAACCCCATCCCCTATAGCCCCCCATCTCATATAGCCCCCACCCCATATAGCCCCATCCCTTATAGCCCACATCCCTGTAACCCCATCCCTTATAACCCCATCCCCTATAGCCCCCCCATAGCCCCCACCCCATATAGCCCCATCCCTTATAGCCCACATCCCCTGTAACCCCATCCCTTATAACCCCATCCCCTATAGCCCCCTATCTCTTATAGCCCCAACCCCATATAGCCCCATCCTTTATAGCCCACATCCCTGTAACCCCATCCCTTATAACCCCATCCCCTATAGCCCCCCATCTCTTATAGCCCCCACCCCATATAGCCCCATCCTTTATAGCCCACATCCCTGTAACCCCATCCCTTATAACCCCATCCCCTATAGCCCCCCATCTCATATAGCCCCCACCCCATATAGCCCCATCCCTTCTAACCCCACCCCCTATACACCCATCCTTACCCCACTCCCCCCATAGCCCCCATCCATTTCCACACATCAAATCTCCTTTATTGCTGCCGGGTGCCAGCGGCTGCGGGGGGTGGGGGAATGGGGGTCCCCTCATGCGGGGGGTGGGGGGGTGTCCCCCCTCATGCGATGCTGCACGCGTCCCTGCGGGCAAAGCTGCGGCGCCGCTGGTCCAAGCCTCGCTCCAGGCGAGCATCCTCCTCCTGTGCCCTATGGGGGACAAAGGGAGGGGGTCGGAGGGGGACCCCATGGGGTGTCCCCCCCCCAAACCCCGGTCCCTGCTCACGTCCGCTCGCTCCAGTCCAGGTCCCGCACGAGTTGATCGCGCCGGTTCACCAGGGCCACCAGCTCCTCCAGCAGCAGCTGCTCCCGCTGCCGCTGCGCTGGAGACTTCAGCCACTCTGGGGGGGGTCACAACCAATGAATGGGGGGGGGAGCCCCAAAGCTCGGTTGCCCCAAGGCTGGGGGTTGCTGAGTTCAGGGCATCCCCAAAGGCAATGGGGGGGACCCCCTCTTGGGGACCCCAAAGCCAGCCTGTAACTAAAGCCGAGGGTGTCCTAATGCTTGGGAGGGCTGGCGGGGGGGGGGGGAAACCCAGGTGTCCCCAAGCCAGGGGGTTCCCACCCTTGGTGTGTCCCCAGCCCAGGGGTTCTGTGTCCCCCCATATCCCCCCCGTGTCCCACCACAGGCCCATATCCCATGTCCCCCCATGTCCCCCCAATCCCTGTGTTTCCAAGTCCCCATGTATCCCCATACCCCCCCATGTCCCCCCATTTCTCCCATATCGCCCTGTGTCCCCCCACATCCCATGTCCCCCTGTGTCCCCTCATGTCCCCCTGTGTCCCCCCATATCCCATGTCCCCATGGGTCTCCCGTGTCTCCATGTCCCCCCAGTCCCTGTGTTTTCATGTCCCCATGTCTCCCCATACCCCCCCATGTCCCCCCATTTCTCCCATATCGCCCTGTGTCCCCCCATATCCCATGTCCCCCTGTGTCCCCTCATGTCCCCCTGTGTCCCCTCATATCCCATATCTCCCTGTGTCCCTCCATATCCCTTGTCCCCCCATGTCCCCCATATCCCTGTTTCCATGTCCCCATGTCTCCCCATACCCCCCCTTGTCCCCCCATTTCTCCCATGTCCCCCTGTGTCCCCTCATGTCCCCCCGTGTCCACTCATATCCCATATCACCCTGTGCCCCCCCACATCCCATGTCCCCCTGTGTCCCCCGATATCCCATGTCCCCGTGTCCCTTCATATCCCATATTCCCCCGTGTCCCCCCACATCCCATATCCCCATGCATCTCCCGTGTCTCCATGTCCCCCCATGTCCCCCATATCCCTGTGCCTCCATGTCCCCATGTCTCCCCATATCCCCCCGTGTCCCCCCATATCCCATGTCCCCCTGTGTCCCCCCACATCCCATATCCCCCCGTGTCCCCCCATATCCCATATCCCCCCGTGTCCCCCACATCCCATATCCCCCCGTGTCCCCCCATGTCCCCCCGTTTACCCCATATCCCATGTCCCCCCGTGTCCCCTCATATTCCCCCGTGTCCCCCCCCCCTCATATTCCCCCGTGTCCCCGCATATCCCATGTCCCCCCGTGTCCCCCCACATCCCATGTCCCCCCGTGTCCCCTCATGTCCCCCCGTGTCCCCCCACATCCCATGTCCCCCCGTGTCCCCTCATGTCCCCCCGTGTCCCCCACATCCCATATTCCCCCGTGTCCCCCCATGTCCCCCCGTTTACCCCATATCCCCCCGTGTCCCCTCATATCCCCCCGTGTCCCAGCATATCCCATGTCCCCCCGTGTCCCCCCACATCCCATATCCCCCCGTGTCCCCTCATATCCCCCCGTGTCCCCCCACATCCCATATCCCCCTGTGTCCCCCCATATCCCATATCCCCCTGTGTCTCCCCATATCCCCCCGTGTCCCCCCATATCTCATATCCCCCCGTGTCCCCCCACATCCCATATCCCCCTGTGTTCCCCATATCCCATATCCCCCCGTGTCCCCTCATATTCCCCCGTGTCCCAGCATATCCCATGTCCCCCTGTGTCCCCCCATATCCCATATCCCCCCGTGTCCCCCCATATCCCATATCCCCCCATGTCCCCCCATATCCCCCGTGTCTCCATGTCCCCATGTGTGTCCCCCCCCCGCATCCGCACCCTCCGTGGCCAGCATCGCCCGCAGCTCCCTGCTCAGCAGCTCGAACTGACGCTCCAGGTCCTGCTCCTCCGCCCTGGGGGGGGGACACACACTCACACGGGGATGTCACCGGGGCAGTACCCCCCCCCCCCCCCCCCAAGCCCGGCCAGGGGGGTCCCCCCCAGTGCCCGCTCACAGCAGCTGGAGCTGGTCCTGGCGCCGCAGCAGCGCGTTCTTGTGGTTCACCAGCGAGAACCACTCCTGGATGAGCTGCTCCTCACGGGAAGGGTCCGCGCCTGTCGGCACCAGCGGGGGGCATGGGGGGACGCGGGGGGACACGAATGAACACGGGGGCATGGGGAGCATGGGGACATGGAGGACATGGGGAACATGGGGACATGGGGACATGAATGAACACGGGGGCATGGGGAGCATGGGGGGACATGGGGACATGGGGACATGGGGACATGGGGGGAAATGGGGGACATGGGGACATGGGGGACATGGGGGACATGGGGGGATATGGGGGGTACGGGGGACATGGGGGACATGGGGGGCACAGGGACATGGGGGGGCATAGGGAGATGTGGGGGGCACAGGGACATGGGGGGACATGGGGAACATGGGGGGACATGGGGACATGGGGCACAGCGTGATGGGGGACATGGGGACATGGGGGGACATGGGGGGGGGACATGGGGGGGACATGGGGGATGCACGGGGGGGGACATGGGGGACATGGGGACATGGGGGGACATGGGGACATGGGGAACATGGGGACATGGGGACATGGGGGGGGACATGGGGGGACATGGGGACATGGGGACATGAATGAACACGGAGGCATGGGGAGCATGGGGGGACATGGGGACATGGGGACATGGAACATGGGGGGACATGGGGGACATGGGGGGACACGGGGACATGGGGACATGGGAATACGGGACATGGGGGACATGGGGGGACATGGGGGGACACAGGGGTTGGGGACATTGGGGGTCACTGGCAGACATGGGTTGGGGACATTGGGGGTCATTGGGGACATGGGGGGACATGGGGGGACACGGGTTGGGGACATTGGGGGTCATGAGGGGGACATGGGGGGACATGGGGACATGGGGGACATGGGGACATGAATGAACACAGGGACATGGGGGGACATGGGGGACATGGGGGGACATGGGGGGACATGGGGGGGACATGGGGACATGGGGACATGGGGACATGGGGGGACATGGGGACATGGGGGGACATGGGGGGACATGGGGGACATGGGGGGACATGGGGGACATGGGGACATGAATGAACATGGGGACGTGGGGAACATGGGGACATGAATGAACACAGGGGCATGGGGAGCATGGGGGGACATGGGGGAACATGGGGACATGGGGGGACATGGGGGAACATGGGGATATAGGGGACACGGGGACACAGGGGGACATGGGAGACATAGGGGAAATGGGACATGGGGGGACATGGGGGACATGGGGACATGGGGGGACATGGGAACATGGGGGAACATGGGGACATGGGGACACGAATGAACACGGGGGCATGGGGAACATGAGGGGGACATGGGGGGACATAGGGACACGGGGGACATGGGGACATGAATGAACACAGGGACATGGGGGGACATGGATGAACACGGGGACATGAACGAACATGGGGACATGAATGAACACGGGGACATGGGGAACATGGGGGGACACAGGGGAACATGGGGAATATGGGGACATGGTGGGACACGGGGGGGACATGGGGACATGAATGAACACGGGAACATGGGGAATATGGGGTACACGGGGGGACACAGGGGACATGGGGATAGGTGGACATGGGTGAACACGGGGACATGGGGGGACACGAGGCACATGGGGGGATATGTGGGGAAATGGAGACACGGGGTGTATAGGGACAGAGGACAGCCACAGGGGAACGGGAGGACAAGGGGACATTGGGACACAGGGACAGGAGGGGGACACGGGAACGCACGCAGCGCAGCCCCCACAGGTGCCCGTATCCCCTCCATATCCAGCTCCGTGTCCCCCCCCCATATCCCCCCGGTCCCCCCATATCCCCCCCGGGCCCGTCCCCACCGCTGCGGTGCCGGTGCTCCCGTACCCGACTGCATGAGGCCGCGCAGCTCCCGCTCCAGGCTAACGGCGACCGCGTCCACCCGCTCCTGCTCCCGCTCCAGCGCCTCCAGTTCGGCCACCACGAACTGGCTCGTGTCGCGCAGCCGCTGCCACCGGCCGGGACACGGACCCGGTGTCCCCATTGTCCCCATGGAACCCCCCGCTTCCATCACCCCATGGACACGGCCCCGGTGTCCCCATGGACCCCTCGCTTCCATCACCCCCCCCATGGACACGGACCCGGTGTCCCCATTGCCTAGACCCCGCGCTGCCATCACCCCCCATGGACACGGACCCGGTGTCCCCATTGTCCCCATGGAACCCCCGATGGCACCCCCCCCATGGACACGGACCCGGTGTCCCCATTGTCCCCATGGACCCCCCGCTTCCATCACCCCCCCATGGACACGGACCCGGTGTCCCCATTGCCCCCATGGAACCCCCGCTTCCATCACCCCCCCATGGACACGGACCCGGTGTCCCCATTGCCCCCATGGAACCCCCGATGGCACCCCCCCCCCCATGGACACGGACCTGGTGTCCCCATGGACCTCCCGCTGCCATCACCCCCCATGGACACGGACCTGGTGTCCCCATTGTCCCCATGGACCCCCCGCTTCCATCACCCCCCCATGGACACGGACCCGGTGTCCCCATGGACCCCCTTGTACCCCCCATGGACCCCCCGCTTCCATCACCCCCACATGGACACGGACCTGGTGTCCCCATTGTCCCCATGGACCCCCCGCTGGCATCGCCCCCCCCATGGACACGGCCCCTGTGTCCCCATGGACCCCCGCTTCCATCACCCCCCCAATGGACACGGACCTGGTGTCCCCACTGTCCCCATGGACCCCTCGCTGCCATCACCCCCCCATGGACACGGACCCGGTCCCCCCCCCCCTTGTCCCCTCCCTGTCCCCCCCTTTACCGGTGTCTCCTCCTCTGCTGGGGTCTCTGTAGGGGGGATTGGGGGGGAAACACACAAAAGGGGGGGGGGGGGTGTCAAGGCGGGAGGGGGGGGTCACGAGTCAGTGACCCTCGGCCATACCCATGACGCCCCCCTTCTCGTGTCCCCCCCCCCCACTCACCAGGTTGGTTCCGGGCTGAGGGGGCCGCGGGGGGGGTTCCGGTGTCCCCATCACCCTAGGGAGAGGGGGGGGGGGGGGGGCAAAGGCCGGCCCATTTTGGGGGTGGGGGCAATAACTGAGGGGGGGGCATCAGGGTAGACCCTGTGATAACAGCCCCCCCCCCCCCCCCCGGAGTGGGGGTTGGGGGGGGTCTCTCACCCTGGGGGGGTTCCGGGGGGGGTCCCCGCGCCGCTCCAGGCGCAGCCTCCGCACCAGGTCGGCGTCGCGCAGATGGGAGAAGCTTTTGGTGCGGGGGGGGGGTGCGGGGCCGGGGGGGGCTCCTTGGGGGGGGCGACTCCCTCCCCCCCCGGCGCGGTGCAGCCTCGGGGGGGGCACCAGCACCCCCGGGGGGGGCCTGGAACCAGCGCCCTTTGACACTGCAGGGTCCGGAGGGGGTCCCCCATGGCCGGGGCCAAGCAGGGGGTCTGGGGGGGTCCGGGTGCGGCCCCCCTCAATGGAACCATCTGAGGGGGACCCCCCTTTGGTGATGCTGAGTTGGGGGTCGGGGGAGGGCCCTGGGGCACCCCCCTCAACAGGACCAAGCTGGGGGACTGAGAGGGAACCCCCCCGTCCAGTGCTAAGCTGGGAGTCCAATGGAGGCCCCCCCTCAATGGAGCCAAGCTGGGGGCCTGATGGGGGGGCCCCGTCAGTGGTGCTGAGCTGTGGGTCTGAGGGTGTCAATGGGGCTCCCCCCTTAACAGAACCAAGCCCGGGTTCTGAGGGATGCCCCCCCATAGTGGTGCTGAGCTGTGGGTCTGGGGGTACAGGAGAGGGCTCCCCCTGGTCAGTGCCAGGCTGTGGGTCTGGGGGTGTCAATGGGGATTCCCCCTTAAGGGAGCCAGGCTGTGGGTCTGGGGGTGCCAATAGGGGCTCCCCCTTAATGGCACCAAGCTGTGGGTCCGGGGGTGTCCATGAGGGCCCCCCCTGGCCAGTGCCAGGCTGTGGGTTTGGGGGTGTCAGTGGGGGCTCTCCCTTAATGGCACCAGGCTGTGGGACTGGGGGTGTCAATGGGGGTTCCCCCTGGCCAGTGCCAGGCTGTGGGTCCAGGGGTGCCAATGGGGGTTCCCCCTTAATGGCACCAGGCTGTGGGTTTGGGGGTGTCAATGGGGACTCCCCATGGCCATTGCCAGGCTGTGGGTTTGGGGGTGCCAATGGGGACTCACCATGGCCATTGCCAGGCTGTGGGTTTGGGGGTGTTGATGGGGGTCCCCCTCGGCCATTGCCAGGCTCTGGGTCTGGGGATGTCAATTGGGGTTCCTCCTTAATGGCACCAGGCTGTGGGACTGGGGTTATCAATGGGGTTTCCCCCTGGCCAGTGCCAGGCTGTGGGTCTGCGGATGTCATTTGGGGTTCCCCCTTAATGGCATCAGGCTGTGGGACCGGGGGTGGCAATGGGGTTTCTCCCTTAAGGAAGCCAGGCTGTGGGTTTGGGGCTGTCAATGGGGGCTCCCCCTCAATGGCACCAGGCTGTGGGTTTGGGGGTGTCAATGGGGACTCCCCATGGCCATTGCCAGGCTGTGGGTTTGGGGGTGCCAATTGGGGTTCCCCCTTAATGGCACCAGGCTGTGGGACTGGGGGTGGCAATGGGGTTTCTCCCTTAAGGGAGCCAGGCTGTGGGTTTGGGGCTGTCAATGGGGGCTCCCCCTCAATGGCACCAGGCTGTGGGTTTGGGGGTGTCCATGGGGGCTCCCCCTCAATGGCACCAGGCTGTGGGACCGGGGGTGTCAATGGGGGCTCCCCCTTAATGACACTGAGCTGTGTGTCCGGGGGTGTCAATGGGGGCTCCCCCTTAATGGCACCGAGCTGTGGGACCGGGGGTGTCAATGGGGGCTCCCCCTTAATGGCACCAGGCTGTGGGTTTGGGGGTGTCAATGGGGGCTCCCCCTTAATGGCACCAGGCTGTGGGACCGGGGGTGTCAACGGGGGCTCCCCCTCAATGGCACCAGGCTGTGGGACCGGGGGTGTCAATGGGGGCTCCCCCTTAATGGCACCGAGCTGTGTGTCCGGGGGTGTCAATGGGGGCTCCCCCTTAATGGCACCGAGCTGTGTGGGTGTCAATGGGGGCTCCCCCTCAATGGCACCAGGCTGTGGGACCGGGGGTGTCAATGGGGGCTCCCCCTTAATGACACTGAGCTGTGTGTCCGGGGGTGTCAATGGGGGCTCCCCCTCAATGGCACCAGGCTGTGGGTTTGGGGGTGTCCATGGGGGCTCCCCCTTAATGGCACCGAGCTGTGTGTCCGGGGGTGTCCATGGGGGTCCCCCCTGAACGGAGCCGATGTGGGGGTGCGCGGTGCCGGGGGGGGGCTCCTGCAGCCGGGCCCGCACTTGGCTCAGGTAAGTCATCACCCCCAGGCGATCGGGGGCCGGCGGCAGCACCAGGTCCGCGGGGTCCAGGAGCCGCGGCACCCCCAAAGCAGAGAAGGCATCGAAGGCCTGGGGGGGGACACACACACACACGACAATGGGGGCTGGAGGGGAACCCGGTACCGGGGAACCCCCCCCTGCACCCCAACACCACACACACACCCCCCCCACGTACCAGTTTGTTGTTGCCCCGGATGTCGAGGGGGTCCAGGGCCTCGTAGTCACTGCAGGGGGAGCTTGGTTCCTTCGGGGGTCCCCCAGGGTTACCCCCCCCCTACAGCCCCATCTCTCCAGGGTACCCCCATGTCCTTCCCCACATCCCCAGGGTTCCCCTCCATGTCCCCCCCTATCCCCATGTTCCCATCCCACATCCCCGTGTTCCCAGGATGCCCCATCCTTGTGTTCCCCCCATGTCCCCGTCCCCGTCCCCATCCCGGTGTCCCCAGGATGCCTCATCCCCCTGTCCCCCCCCATGTACCCATCCCCATCTCAATGGCCCCAGGATGCCCCATCTCCATGTGTCATCCCCCCCCATGTGTCCATCCCCATCCCAGTGTCCCCAGTATGCCCCATGCCTGTGTCCCCCCCACCATGTCCCCATCCCCGTGTACCCCCATATTCCCCCCTATGTCCCCATGCCCCCCCCATGTCCCCATCCCCATCTTTGTGTCCCCCCCATGTCCCCAGGGCTCTCTATCCCACATCCCCATGTCCCTAGGATGCCCCATCCCCGTGTTCCCCCTATGTCCCCATCCGCATCCCAGGATGCCCTATCCCTGTGTTGTCCATCCCCACCCCCATGTCCCCATCCCCATCCCCGTGTCCCCCCCATACCCCCCATGTCCCCATCCCCGTGTCGTCCCGCGATAGACCTGCGCCGTGTCCCCAGCCCCATTCCCGTGTCCCCAGGATGCCCCATCCCCGTGTCCCCCCCATAACCCCATCCCCGTGTCCCCCCACATATCCCCCCCCATGTATCCATCCCCATGTCCCCCCACATATCCCCCCCATCCCCCCCCATGTCCCCATCCCCATCCCCGTGTCCCCCCCATATCCCCCCCATCCCCCCCCATGTCCCCATCCCCATCCCCATGTCCCCCCAATATCCCCCCCCCATGTCCCCATCCCCATCCCCGTGTCCCCCCCATGTCCCCCCGCATGTCCCCATCCCCACCCCGTGTCCCCCCCATGTCCCCGTCCCCATCCCCATGTCCCCCCCATATCCCCCCCATGTCCCCCCCATGTCCCCATCCCCGTGTCCCCCCCGTATCCCCCCCAGGTTCCCCCCATATCCCCCCCCAATGTCCCGATTGCCATCCCCATGTTCCCGCCATGTTCCCATTCCCATCGCCATGTCCCCCCCATATCCCCCCCCATGTCCCCCCCATGTCCCCCCATCCCCCCATGCTCCCCCCATATCCCCCCCCAATGTCCCGATTGCCATCCCCATATCCCCCCCATGTCCCCATCCCCATCCCCATGTCCCCCCCATATCCCCCCCATGTCCCCATCCCCATCCCCATGTCCCCCTCATATCCCCCCCATATCCCCCCCATATCCCCCCCATGTCCCCCCCATGTCCCCGTCCCCATCCCCATGTCCGCAGCCCCATATCCCCCCCCCATGTGTCCTCCCCGTCCCGTCCGTCCCCGTGTCCCCCCCCTCCCGGCTCCCGGTGGCCCCGGGGCTCACAGCAGCTCGGGCCGGTGCCGGTGCAGGAGCGCGCAGAAGGCGAGGCCGCTGCGCCAGGAGGTGCTGAAGTTGGTGACGCGGACCCCGCGGTACCCGGCCGTGGCCGCCTGGCACCAGCGCAGCAGCGCCCCGCTGCCCCCGGGGGGGGGCTGGCGGTGGGTCAGGACCCGCACCCATCACCCCCCCCCCCCGGAGCCCCTATGGGAGCCCCCCCCACACCCCACACCCCACACCAGCAGGGATGGGTGCATGGGGTGCCCCCACCTCCTATGGGACCCCCCCTGAGCAAGGATGGGTGCATGGGGTGCCACCACCTCCTATGGGACCCCCCCCCCGAGCAGGGATGGGTGCATGGGGTGCCCCCACCTCCTATGGGACCTCCCCCCCGAGCAGGGATGGGTGCGCAGGGTGCCCCCACCTCCTATGGGACCCCCCCTGAGCAAGGATGGGTGCATGGGGTGCCACCACCTCCTATGGGACCCCCCCTGAGCAAGGATGGGTGCATGGGGTGCCACCACCTCCTATGGGACCCCCCCAGAGCAAGGATGGGTGCGCAGGGTGCCCCCAGTCCCTATGGGAGCCCCACCCCACCAGCAGGGATGGGTGCATGGGGTGCCACCACCTCCTATGGGACCCCCCCCAGCAAGGATGGGGGTGACCCCAGCCCCTATGGGACCCCCCCGAGCAGGGATGGGTGCATGGGGTGCCACCACCTCCTATGGGACCCCCCCCCCGAGCAAGGATGGGTGCGCAGGGTGCCCCCAGCCCCTATGGGAGACACCCCCCCCGCCCTAGCAGGGATGGGTGCATGGGGCGCCCCCACCTCCTATGGGAGCCCCCCCCAGCAGGGTTGGGTGCATGGGGTGCCCCCAGCCCCTATGGGAACCCCCCCAACAAGGATGGGGGTGACCCCAGCCCCTATGGGACCCCCCCGGAGCAAGGATGGGTGCATGGGGTGACCCCAGCCCCTATGGGAACCCCCCCAACAAGGATGGGGGTGACCCCAGCCCCTATGGGACCCCCCCAGAGCAAGGATGGGTGCATGGGGTGACCCCAGCCCCTATGGGACCCCCCCAGGGGAAAGGATGGGTGTGCAGGGTGCCCCCAGCCCCTATGGGCAGCCCCCCCCCAGCAAGGATGGGGTCCCCAAACACCCCCCAGCAATGGTGACCCCCCCCATTCACTTGGTCACTGAACCCCCTGCTCCCACCCATAGAGGACCCCAAGCCTCACCCCCTATAGAGGGTGCCCAAGCCCCCTAAGGTGACCCCAGCCCCCCCCATAGGAGTCCCCGAGCCTCCCCAGCCCCACTCACCACGTCCATCTTTTGGGGTGGGGGTTGTTCACCCCCAGGGCCGGGGGGGGCCCTTTGTACCCCCAGTGTGGGGGGATCCCCACAATCACCTTCCTTTATGGGGGGCCCTGCAGGAGACACGGGTCAGGGACACTTGGGGGGGGGGGGGGGCTGAGAGTCCTGATCCCCCCCCCCAAGCCCCCCCAAAACCCACCTGTGCGTGAGGGGGGGGGCTTGGGCTCTTCCTCCACCTCCTCCTCTTCAGGCAACGCCTGCAGCTCTCGGGGGGACTCTGGGGTACGGGGGGGGGGGTGTCAGGGCACCCCCTTGGCAGTGGGGGGGAAATGGCGAAGGGGGGCAATGGGGGGGGCGGCGATGGGGGGGTGATGGGGAGCGATGGGGGGGTGTTGGGGGGCTGATGGGGCCACCTCGGGGGGCTGGGGCAGGGGGGGGCCCCCCTCGAGGCTCCTCCTCCTCCTCGGGGTCGCTCTCAAAGTCACCCAGGTCGGCCACGTCCCCCGGGCGGCTCAGCAGGCTCGCGACGCTCTGCATGTCCTCGTCCCTGCACACGCATGGCACACACGTGGGACACGCGTGGCAAACACAGGGCACACGCATGGAACACACGTGTGACACACATGGCGCACACAGGGAACACACGTGTGACACACATGGCACACACAGGGCACACACAGGGCACACACGTGTGACACACATGGCGCACACAGGGAACACACGTGTGACACACATGGCGCACACAGGGAACACACGTGTGACACACATGGCACACACAGGGCACACACAGGCCACACACGTGTGACACACATGGCACACACGTGTGACATGCGTGGCAAACACAGGGCACACACATGGCACACACGTGTGACACGCATGGCACACACATGGCACACACATGGCACACACGTGTGACACACATGGCACACAGGGCACACACGTGTGACACGCATGGCACACACAGGGCACACATGTGACACGCATGGCACACACGTGTGACACGCATGGCACACACAGGGCACACACGTGTGACACACATGGCACACACATGGCACACGCACGGCACACACGTGTGACACACAGGGCACACACATGGCACACACGTGTGACACGCATGGCACACACAGGGCACACACATGTGACACACATGGCACACACAGGGCACACACGGCACATGCATGGCACACGTCTGACACGCATGGCACACACAGCATATGCATGGCACACACATGTGGCACGCATGGCACACACAGGGCACACACGGCACATGCATGGCACGCACATGTGACACGCATGGCACAAGGCACACACATAGGACACACATGGGACACATGTGGCACGCATGGCATATGCATGGCACACACATGGCATACAGATGGCACACATATGGCACACGCATGTGGCACACACATGGCACACGCGTGCCACACATATGTCACACACATGTAACACGCATGGCACACATGTGTGACACACACGGCACACACGTGTGACACGCATGGCACAGGGCACACGCATGGCACACACATGGCATACGCATGTGGTATGCATGTGGCACACACATGGCACACACGTGGCACACACATGATACGCAAGGCACACACGTGTGGCACGCATGGCCCACGCACGTGACACACGCACGGCACACGCATGTGCCACATGCATGGCACATACATGGCACATGTGTGGCATACACATGGCACACACATGTTACACCCATGGCACACAGCTGTGGCATGCATGGCACAGGGCACACACGGCACACACATGGCACACGCATGGGACACACATGGGACACACATGTGGCACGCATGGAACACACATGTGACATGCATTGCGTCCCCCATGTCCCCAAGCCCCCCAGGTCCCCAAGCCCCCCATAGTGTCCCCCAAGGCCCCCATAGTGGTCCCCATGCCCAAGCCCCCCATAATGTCCCCCATGTCCCCAAGACCCCATAATGTCCCCCATGTCCCCAAACCCCCCATAATGTCCCCCATATCCCCAAGCCCCCCATAGTGCCCCCCATGTCCCCAAGCTCCCCATAACGTCCCCAAGCCCCCATGTCCCCAACCCCCCCTAGTGCCCCCATGTCCCCAAGCCCCCTATGTCCCCACCCCCCTAGTGCCCCCCATGTCCCCAAGCCTCCATTGTCCCCAAGCCCCCCCTAGTGCCCCCCATGTCCCCAAGCTGCCCATAGTGTCCCCCATGTCCCAAAGCCCCCCATGTCCCCAAGCCCCCCATAGTGTCCCCCATGTCCCCAAGCCCCCCATGTCCCCAAACCCCCCACAGTGCCCCCCATGTCCCCAAGCCTCCATGTCCCCAACCCCCCCTAGTGCCCCCCATGTCCCCAAGCCTCCATTGTCCCCAAGCCTCCCCTAGTGCCCCCCAGGTCCCCAAGTCCCCCCCTAGTGTCCCCCATGCCCCCCCCAGTGCCCCCCATGTCCCCAAGCCCCCCATGTCCCCAAGCCCCCCTAAGTGTCCCCCATGTCCCCAAGCCTCCATTATCCCCAAGCCCCCCTAGTGCCCCCCATGTCCCCAAGCCCCCCATATCCCCAAGCCCCCCTAAGTGCCCCCCATGTCCCCAAGCCCCCCATGTCCCCAAGCCCCCCCTAGTGCCCCCCATGTCCCCAAGCCTCCATTGTCCCCAAGCCGCCCATAGTGTCCCCCATGTCCCCAAGCCCCCCATGTCCCCAAGCCCCCCCATGTCCCCAAACCCCCCACAGTGCCCCCCATGTCCCCAAGCCCCCCATGTCCCCAAGCCCCCCTAGTGCCCCCCATGTCCCCAAGCCCCCCATATCCCCAAGCCCCCCTAAGTGCCCCCCATGTCCCCAAGCCCCCCATAGTGCCCCCCATATCCCCAAGCCCCCCCAGTGCCCCCCAAGCCCCCCGTGCCCCCCGGTGCCGCTCACGTTGGGTGCCCCTCGTGCAGGACGCTGGCGCTGAGCCGCAGGCGCAGGTTCGCGGCCGCCACCCTACGGGAGCGGGGCCGCAGGGACAGGGACAGAGCCAGCGGCCCCCCCCCCGCCGCCGCCGCCGCCCCCCCCAGGCGGCCCAGGTCCAGCGGAGCCCCCGCAACCACGGAGCGGCGGCCCCGGGACTCCTGCGGGGGGAAGGGGGGGTCAGAGGGGACCCCAATGGGGAACCCGATAGGAGACACAATGGGGAACAGCAATAGGGCACCCCCAATAGGAGCCACAATGGGGACCCCAATAGGAGCCACAATTGGGAACAGCAAAAGGGCACCCCCAATAGGAGCCACAATGGGGACCCCGATAGGAGCTACAATGGGGACCCCGATAGGAGCCACAATGGGGAACCCGATAGGAGCCACAATGGGGACCCAATAGGGCACCCCCAATAGGAGCCACAATGGGGACCCCGATAGGAGCCACAATGGGGAACCCCAATAGGAGCCACAATGGGGAACCCGATAGGAGCCACAATGGGGAACAGCAATAGGGCACCCTCAATAGGAGCCACAATGGGGAACCCCAATAGGGCACCCCCAATAGGAGCCACAATGGGAACCCCGATAGGAGCCACAATGGGGATCCTGATAGGAGCCACGATGGGAACCCCGATAGGAGCCACAATGGGGATCCCGACAGGAGCCACAATGGGGAACCCCGAGAGGAGCTGCAATGGGGAACCCTGAGAGGAGCCACAATGGGGAACCCTGATAGGGACACCAAAAGGAGCCACAATGGGGGACCCCAATAGGAGACACAATGGGGATCCCAATAGGAGCCAAAATGGGGAAACCTGATAGGAGCCACAATGGGGATCCCAATAGGAGCCACAATGGGGAACCCCGAGAGGAGCCACAATGGGGAACAGCAATAGGGCACCCCCAATAGGAGCCACAATGGGAACCCCGATAGGAGCCACAATGGGGGCCCGATAGGAGCCACAATGGGGAACCCAATAGGAGCCACAATGGGGGCCCGATAGGAGCCACAATGGGGAACCCCAATAGGAGCCACAATGGGGAACCCCAATAGGGTCCCCAAAAGGAGCCACAATGGGGACCCCGATAGGAGCCACAATGGGGAACCCCAAAAGGAGCCACAATGGCGAACAGCAGTAGGGCACACCCAAAAGGAGCCACAATGGGAACCCCGATAAGAGCCACAATGGGGAACAGCAATAGGGCACCCCCAATAGGAGCCACAATGGGGACCCCAATAGGAGCCACAATTGGGAACAGCAAAAGGGCACCCCCAATAGGAGCCACAATGGGGACCCCGATAGGAGCTACAATGGGGACCCCGATAGGAGCCACAATGGGGACCCAATAGGGCACCCCCAATAGGAGCCACAATGGGAACCCCGATAGGAGCCACAATGGGGAACCCCAATAGGAGCCACAATGGGGAACCCGATAGGAGCCACAATGGGGAACAGCAATAGGGCACCCTCAATAGGAGCCACAATGGGGAACCCCAATAGGGCACCCCCAATAGGAGCCACAATGGGAACCCCGATAGGAGCCACAATGGGGATCCTGATAGGAGCCACGATGGGAACCCCGATAGGAGCCACAATGGGGATCCCGACAGGAGCCACAATGGGGAACCCCGAGAGGAGCTGCAATGGGGAACCCCGATAGGGACACCAAAAGGAGCCACAATGGGGGACCCCAATAGGAGACACAATGGGGATCCCAATAGGAGCCAAAATGGGGAAACCCGATAGGAGCCACAATGGGGATCCCAATAGGAGCCACAATGGGGAACCCCGAGAGGAGCTGCAATGGGGAACCCAATAGGAGCCACAATGGGGAACAGCAATAGGGCACCCCCAATAGGAGCCACAATGGGAACCCCGATAGGAGCCACAATGGGGGCCCGATAGGAGCCACAATGGGGAACCCCAATGGGGAACCCCAATAGGGTCCCCAAAAGGAGCCACAATGGGGACCCCGAGAGGACCCGCAATGGGGAACCCAATAGGAGCCACAATGGGGAACCCCAAAGGGAGCCACAATGGGGAACCCGATAGGAGCCACAATGGGGAACAGCAATAGGGCACCCCCAATAGGAGCCACAATGGGGATCCCAATAGAAGCCACAATGGGGAACAGCAATAGGGCACCCCAATAGGAGCCACAATGGGGATCCCAATAGGAGCCACAATGGGGAACCCCGAGAGGAGCCACAATGGGGAACCCAATAGGAGCCACAATGGGGACCCGATAGGAGCCACAATGGGGAACAGCAATAGGGACCCCAAAACGAGCCACAATGGGGAACCTCGATAGGAGCCACAATGGGGAACCCCAATAGGATCCACAATGGGGAACCCCAATGGGGAACCCCAATAGGGTCCCCAAAAGGAGCCAGAATGGGGAACCCCGATAGGAGCCACAATGGGGACCCCGATAGGAGCCACAATGGGGAACCCCAAAAGGGGCCACAATGGGGAACCCCGAGAGGAGCTGCAATGGGGACCCCGATAGGAGCCACAATGGGGAACCCCAATAGGGCAACCCCAATAGGAGCCACAATGGGGAGCCCGATAGGAGCCACAATGGGGGACCCGATAGGAGCCACAATGGGGAACCCCGATAGGAGCCACAATGGGGACCCCGATAGGAGCCACAATGGGGAACAGCAATAGGAGCCACAATGGGGACCCCAATAGGAGCCACAATGGGGACCCGATAGGAGCCACAATGGGGAACAGCAATAGGGCACCCCCAATAGGAGCCACAATGGGGAACCCCGATAGGGACACCAAAAGGAGCCACAATGGGGACCCCAATAGGAGCCACAATGGGGAACAGCAATAGGGCACCCCCAATAGGAGCCACAATGGGGACCCCGATAGGAGCCACAATGGGAAACAGCAATAGGGCACCCCCAATAGCAGCCACAATGGGGACCCCGATAGGAGCTACAATGGGGACCCCGATAGGAGCCACAATGGGGGACCACAATAGGGACACCAAAAGGAGCCACAATGGGGAACCCGATAGGAGCCACAATGGGGAACCCCGATAGGAGCCACAATGGGGAACCCAATAGGAGCCACAATGGGGACCCCAATAGGAGCCACAATGGGAAACAGCAATAGGGCACCCCCAATAGCAGCCACAATGGGGACCCCGATAGGAGCCACAATGGGGGACCACAATAGGGACACCAAAAGGAGCCACAATGGGGAACCCGATAGGAGCCACAATGGGGAACCCCGATAGGAGCCACAATGGGGAATCCCAATAGGGCACCCCCAATAGGAGCCACAATGGGGAACCCCGACAGGAGCTACAATGGGGACCCCGATAGGAGCCACAATGGGGACTCCCAATAGGGCAACCCCCAATAGGAGCCACAATGGGGACTCCGATAGGACCCCATTACCCAGGGGACCCCAAGAGGGGAACCCCAACAGGGGCCACAATGGGGAACCCCGATAGGAGCCACAATGGGGGACCCGATAGGAGCCACAATGGGGAACCCCGATAGGAGCCACAATGGGGGACCCCAATAGGAGCTACAATGGGGACCCCCAATAGGACCCCATCACCCAGAGGACCACAAGAGAGGACCCCCAATAGGAGCCACAATGGGGAACCCCAAGAGGAGCCACAATGGGGACCCCAATAAGAGATACAATGGGGAACCCCAATAGGAGCCACAATGGGGAACCCCAATAGGAGCTACAATGGGGACCCCCAATAGGACCCCATCACCCAGAGGACCACAAGAGAGGACCCCCAATAGGAGCCACAATGGGGAACCCCAATAGGAGCCCATCATCCAGGGGACCCAAACTGGGGAACCCCAATAGGGCACCCCCAATTTGACCCCATCACCCAGGGGACCCCAACGGGGGAACCCCAATAGGGCACCCCCAATTTGACCCCATCACCCAGGGGACCCCAACAGGGGACCCCCAATAGGAGCCCATCTCCCATGGGCCCCCCATGTGCCCCAGGGGATCCCTAATAGGGGACCCCCATCAAGACCCCCTGCCCCAGAGGATGCCCATCTCCTAGGGACCCCCAACAGGGGATCCCCATCTCCCACACGGACCCCCCAACCAAGGGTCCCCTCTCTATTATGGGACGCCCCCCCACATCCCCTAGGGGAGCCCCAAAAGGACCCCCCCCATCCCCAAGGGCCCCCCCATGGGGACTCACGTTCTCGATGAGGAAGCTCCACTCCTTGTCATCGTAGGTGGTGGCATGGGGGTCCTGGGGGGCGGGGGAGGTCCCATGAGCACACGGTGTGTGGGGGGGACATGGGACAGGAGTGGGGACCCCATAGGGACCCCATAGGAGGGGACACGGTGTGGGGGGGGCCGGGGACACGCACCCGGTAGAGGGTGACGACCACCTCGATGCTCTCAGGGACCACCCAGACGACCATGCCCCGGTACGGGTTCTCGATGCCCGGCTGCCAGCTGTGGGGCTGCACCCCCCGTCAGCCACCCCTGGCCCCAGAGACCCCAACCACACCCCCCCCCCCAGACAGCCCCATAACCACCATAGACCGCCCATAGACCCCCCATAACCCCCATAGACCCTCCCATAACCCCCATAGACAGCCCCATGACCCCCATAAACCCAATAGACAGCCCCATAACCCCCACAGACCCCCCCCATAACCCCCATAGAGCCCATAGCCCCATAACCACCATAGACCTCCCCATAACCCCCATAGACATCCCCATAAGCCCCATAACCACCATAGCCCCATAACCCCATAACCCCCATACGACCCCATAGACAGCCCCATAACCCCCATAGACCCCCCATAGACCCCACAGACATCCCCATAACCCCCATAGAACCCATAGAAAGCCCCATAACCACCATAGACCCTCCCATAACCCCCATAAGACCCCATAGACAGCCCCATAACCACCATAGACCCCCCCATAACCCCCATAGACATCCCCATAACCCCCATAGACCCCCCATAACCCCCATAGACATCCCCATAAACCCCATAGACCCCCCATAACCCCCATAGACAGCCCCATAACCCCCACAGACCCCATAGACAGCCCAATAACCCCCATAACCAACATAGACAGCCCCATAACCCCCATAGACATCCCCATAACCCCCATAGACCCCCCCATAACCCCCATAGACAGCCCCATAACCCCCACAGACCCCATAGACAGCCCCATAACCCCCATAGACCCCCCCATAACCCCCATAGCCCCATAACCACCATAGACCTCCCCATAACCCTCATAGACCCCATAGACAGCCCCATAACCCCCACAGACCCCCCTAGACCCCCTGTTTATCCCCCCATAGGCCCCCCCAAGACCCCCCCCCCCCCGGTCCCCCTCAAATTCCCTCGCCCCATAGACCCCCCATAAATGACACCCCCCCCCCCCCCCCAGAGAACCCCCCTCACACCCCCTCCCCATTGCCCCACTGATCGCCCAGCCCCATGGATCCTCATAGAAGCCCCAACCCCACGGGTCCCGTCCCCCCCCCCAGCGCACCTTGGAGCAGACCCTCCGGTTGCGCCGGGTCCAGACCACCGTGAGCTTGTGGGGCTGCCTGGGGGGGGGGTCAGGGATGCTGGGACCCCCCCCCATTCCTATGGGGCAGCCCCCAGTCCCCCCACAGGGTGTGGGGCGGCTCCTCCTGCCCCATGGGTGCGGGGTGGGGCTGTGGGGCCGCCCCATAGATAACGGTAACGGCTCCATAACGGCCCCTATAGCAGCCCCTATACAGACCCCTTTGCAACCCTATAGCTGCTCCCCTGCACCCCTACAGTGACCCCTTTGGAGCCCTATGGTGGCCCCTATATAGACCCCATGGCACCATTATACCGCACCCCAATACTGACCCCCCTGCAGCCCCATAGCTGCCCCTATGTAAAGCTCATTGCACCCCTACACTGACCCCCCTGCAGCCCCATAGCTGCCCCTATGTAAAGCTCACTGCACCCCAATACTGAACCACCTGTAGCCCCATAGCTGCCCCTATGTAAAGCTCATTGCACCCCTACACTGACCCCCCTGCAGCCCCATAGCTGCCCCTATGTAAAGCTCATTGCACCCCTACACTGAGCCCCCCGCAGCCCCATAGCTGCCCCTATGTAAAGCTCATTGCACCCCTACGCTGAGCCCCCTGCAGCCCCATAGCTGCCCCTATGTAAAGCTCATTGCACCCCTACACTGACCCCCCTGCAGCCCCATAGCTGCCCCTATGTAAAGCTCATTGCACCCCTACACTGACCCCCCCGCAGCCCCATAGCTGCCCCTATGTAAAGCTCATTGCACCCCTACACTGACCCCCCCTGCAGCCCCATAGCTGCCCCTATGTAAACTTCATTGCACCCCACACTGACCCCCCTGCAGCCCCAGAGCTGCCCCTATGTAAAGCTCACTGCACCCCTACACTGAGCCCCCCGCAGCCCCATAGCTGCCCCTATGTAAAGCTCATTGCACCCCTACACTGACCCCCCTGCAGCCCCATAGCTGCCCCTATGTAAAACTCATTGCACCCCTACACTGAGCCCCCCGCAGCCCCATAGCTGCCCCTATGTAAAGCTCATTGCACCCCTACACTGACCCCCCTGCAGTCCCATAGCTGCCCTATATAAAGCTCATTGCACCCCTACACTGAGCCCCCCGCAGCCCCATAGCTGCCCCTATGTAAAGCTCATTGCACCTCTACACTGAGCCCCCCACAGCCCAATAGCAGCCCCTATGTAAAGCTCATTGCACCCCTACGCTGACCCCCCTGCAGCCCCAGAGCTGCCCCTATGTAAAGCTCATTGCACCCCTACACTGACCCCCCTGCAGCCCCATAGCTGCCCCTATGTAAAGCTCATTGCACCCCTACACTGACCCCCCTGCAGCCCCATAGCTGCCCCTATGTAAAGCTCATTGCACCCCTACGCTGACCCCCCTGCAGCCCCAGAGCTGCCCCTATGTAAAGCTCATTGCACCCCTACACTGACCCCCCTGCAGCCCCATAGCTGCCCCTATACCCGGCCCGGCTCCAGTCCCTATAACAGCCCCACTGCCCCATAGAGACCCCACTATCCCCTATAGCCGCCCCCCCCCCCGGGCCCCACGGCCCTGCCCCCCCCATGAGTCACCCCACGTTGCTCCAGCGCCTCCGGGGCCGCGCCCCAAGGAGGGGGGGGGGGCCCCCCATAGGGCGCGAGACTCCCCCCCCCCCCATGGGCAGGTGCGGGCGCTCTGGGGATGGGGGGGGGGGGGGGGGGAGAAACCGGATACCCCCTGCGGGGGGAGGGGGGGGGGGAAGGGGGGGCCGGGGTCTATTTTTAGCCCCGGAGCCGCCGTTTCCCGGCCCCATTTATGGACATTTTTAACTCAAAACGAAAGCGGGAACACGGCCGGGGGGGGTGGGGGGAAGTGGGCGCGGAGCCCCCGTGTCACCCCCTGGAGACCCCCTCCTCCAATGGGGCAAACCCCCATAGGGAGGGATGAAGGGGGGGGGGGGGGGCTGGGACATGCCGCGGGTTTTGGGGGGTACGAGGGGGGGGGGGTGGGGATCACGGGGGGGGGGGCTGGGACATGCCGCGGGTTTTGGGGGGTACGAGGGGGGAGGTGGGGGGCTGGAAGGTTCCGCAAAGTTTGGGGGTTCCCGTGGGGGGGGGGGAGGGTTTTGGGGGTCCGTGGGGGAGGGGAGGGGAGGAGGGGGGGTCGTGGGGGTCTCACCAGCTCCTGCCCCCCTCCACCAGCAGCTCCTCGAAGGTCGCCACAAACCGCACTTTGGCCGCGCGCTTCCCCGCACGCTGCAGCCGCTTCCACACCGACCCCATGGCGCCCCCCCCCCCCAACCCCACAGCTCCGCGGGTTCGGGACCCGCTGCCGACAGCTCCGGGGCTGATTTTTCCTCACCTACCCCCCACCCCCCCTTCCGAACCCGGCTTTGGGACCCATAGAACGGGACCAACCCCCCCCCCCCACCCCCCCGCGCTGGGCGCGGCCCGGCCCCGCCCGGGCAGGAAACTGAAGCCGGAGCAGGGCAGGAGGAGCTTCCCCCCCCAGGCCATAGACCCGCCCCCCCCCGGGCCATACAGCCACATTGGGCCCTATATATAAGTGCTTTCCTCATACCCCCCCCCCCGGGGCCTTAAAACTACAGCCCACCCCCATCATATATCCCCCCCCCCCCCATCATATATACCCCCATCATAAATCCCCCTCCATCATATAGCCCCCCCTCATATATCCCCCCCATCATATATCCTCCCCCCCATCATATATCCCCCATCATATATCCCCCCATCATATATCCCCCCATCATATATCCTCCCCCTCCATCATATATCCCCCCCATCATATAGCCCCCCCTCCATCATATAGCCCCCCCTCATATATCCCCCCATCATATATCCCCCTATCCATCATATATCCTCCCCCCCATCATATAGCCCCCCCATCATAAATCCCCCCCCATCATATAGCCCCCCCTCCATCATATAGCCCCCCCATCATATATCCTCCCCCCATCATATATCCCCCCCTCCATCATATATCCCCCCATCATATATCCCCCCCTCCATCATATATCGCCCCCCATCATATATCCCCCCCCATCATATATCCCCCCCCAGCCATATATCTGCCCCCAAGGGCCATAAACTCCCCGCTCTTGGCTCTATATTGCCCCCCCCCAGGCCATAAATGCAATCGCGGTGCACACAGCGCACACCCCCCCCCAGTCCATACATTCAGCCCCATAGCACCCCCAAATCTGCACCCCCCCCACCCCCAAAAAGGTGTGGGACGCAGGGCAGGCGGCTGCGGTTCTCAGAGCGTTTATGGGGGGCTGCCGGGGGGGGCGAGCGCCTGCAGCCCCCCCAGGGCCTCGGCGCAGGCACGCACCAGGGCGCAGAGCTGGGTGCTGCCCTCGGTGGATGCGGTGCGGGGCAGCTCCCGCGCCGCCCAGCCCAGCTTGTCCAGCACTGCCGTGCGTGCCAAGGCCACCGCAGCCGCTGCTGCTGCCTCGGGGGGGCCGGGGGGGGCTCCCCGTAAGCCCGTGGCTGCCCCCTCGCAGTGTTCGGGCCGGGGAGGGGCCGGGTGGCGTGGGGCGGGAGGGGATGAGGAGGTTGGGGGCTCCGGTGCTGCGGGAGGGAGGGAGGGAAGGGTGAGACCCCCGCTGCTCCAAGCCTTGTGCCCAGCCCCATTCCCAGCCCCCTCAAGCCTGTCCAAAGGACCCCATTCCCAAGCCAGCCCCCCCAACACCCCCCTTTCTCGGCCTCCCATTCCCATCATCCTCATTCCCAGCTCCATCTCCATCCCTACTCCCAGCACCCCAATCCCCCCATCACCATCCCAGGCTCCATCAGCCCCATTCCCAGCTCCATCCCCACCCCTATTCCCAGCACCCCAATCCCCCCATCACCATCCCAGGCTCCATCAGCCCCATTCCCAGCCCCATCCCCACCCCTATTCCCAACACCCCAATACCCCCATTCCCAGACTCCCATCCCCATCCCAGCTCCATTCCCAGCCTCCCATCCCCATCCTTGGTTCCATCAGCCCCATTCCCAGCTCCATCCCTACCCCTATTCCCAGCACCCCAATCCCCCCATTCCCAACCTCCCATCCCCATCCTTGGTTCCATCAGCCCCATTCCCAGCTCCATCCCTACCCCTACTCCCAGGACCCCAATCCCCCCATTCCCAACCTCCCATCCCCATCCTTGGTTCCATCAGCCCCATTCCCAGCTCCATCCCTACCCCTATTCCCAGCACCCCAATCCCCCCATTCCCAACCTCCCATCTCCATCCCTGGCTCCATCAGCCCCATTCAAGCCCCATCCCCATCCCTATTCCCAGCACCCCAATGCCCCCATTCCCATCCCTGGCTCCATCAGCCCCATTCCCAGCCCCATCCCCACCCCCCCAATCCCCCTTATTCCCATCCCTGGCTCCATCAGCCCCATTCCCAGCTCCAGCCCCATTCCCAGCTCCAGCCCCACCCCTATTCCCAACACCCCAATCCTCCCATTCCCATCCCTGGCTCCATCAGCCCCATTCCCAGCTCCAGCCCCACCCCTATTCCCAACACCCCAATCCTCCCATTCCCATCCCTGGCTCCATCAGCCCCATTCCCAACCCAATTCCCAGCCCCACCAGGGCCGCCGTCGAAGTCCAGGTCCTGGCAGGACACGCAGTGAAGCTTCTGCTCCTTGTCTTGCAGCAGAATGGTCTGGAGGGGGGGTGGAAGAGGGGCACATGGCAGTGGGAGGGAGTCAGTACAGCCTCGGCAGCCCCATAACCACGGACCCAGCCCCATAACCACGGACCCAGCCCCATAACCCCACTCCCAGCCCCACAGACCCAACCACAGTCCTGCCCCAGAGCCAGGAATCCAGCCCCACATTTCTGAACCCAGCCCCACAGCCCCAAGCCCAGCCCCACAGCTCCGAATCCAGGCCCACAGCCCCGAACCCGGCCCCACAGCCCCCAACCCGGCCCCCCAGCCCTGAACCCAGCCCCCCAGCCCCCAACCTGGCCCCCCAGCCCCGAATCCGGCCCCCCAGTCCCTGAACACAGCCCCACAGCCCCAAAACTAGCCCCACATCTCCCAACCTGGCGCCAGAGGCGCTACCCGACCCCACAGCCCCGAATCCAGCCCCACAGCTCCGAACCTGGCCCCAGAGGCGCTACCCGGCCCCACAGCCCCCAACCCGGCCCCACAGCTCCCAACTAGGAACCACAGCCCCCAACCCGGCCCCACATATCTGAAGCTGGCACCAGAGGTGCTACCCAGCCCCACAGCCCCCAACACAGCTCCACAGCCCTCAACCCGGCTCCACAGCCCTCAACCCGGCCCCACAGCCCTGAATCCAGCCCCACAGCTCCAAACCCAGCCCCACAGGCCCGAATCCGGCCCCACAGCCCCCAACCCAGACACAAACCCAGACACAAACCCAGCCCCACAGCTCCAAACCCGGCCCCACGGCCCATCCCAGAGCCGCAAACTCAGCCCCACCGCCCCAAACACACCCCCCCCCCGGTTCCGTTCCCACCCCATAACCCCTCTCCCATCCCCGCCCTGCTCCCCCCCCTCCCGGTTCACCCCATCGCGCACCCCGCAGTGGGGGCAGCACCGGCCCAGCATCCGGTACCCCCTCAGCAGCAGCTGCCCCATGGCGCGGCTGACCCACTCCTGCCGCTCCCGTCGGGCCTCCAGCTCCGCCGCGGCCGGGGCCGGCTCCGCGCCTGCGGGACACGGACAAAGGGAGGGGGGGGGAACCGGTTACCGGAGACAACGGGGGGAGGGGGTGATGGAGGGGGGGAGGGGCCGGGAACGGGAGGGTCCCGGGTGGGATGGGGAGGGGGGGAACCGGTTACCGGAGACAACGGGGGGAGGGGGAGGGGGTGATGGAGGGGGGGAGGGGCCGGGAACGGGAGGGTCCCGGGGGGGGAACCTGTTACCGGAGACAACGGGGGGAGGGGGTGATAGAGGGGGAGGGGCCGGGAACGGGAGGGTCCCGGGGGGGAGGGGGGGGGGAACCGGTTACCGGAGACAACGGGGGGGAGGGGGTGATGGAGGGGGGAGGGGGGAGATGGGGGGAGGGGCCGGAACGGGAGGGTCCCGGGGGATGGGGGGGGGGAACCGGTTACCGGAGACAACGGGGGGAGGGGGTGACGGGGGGGGGAGGGGGAGATGGGGGGGGAGGGGCCGGGAACGGGAGGGTCCCGGGGGGGAGGGGGGGGGTGGAACCGGTTACCGGAGACAACGGGGGGAGGGGGAGGGGGTGATGGAGGGGGGGAGGGGCCGGGAACGGGAGGGTCCCGAGGGAGAGGGGGGGGGGGGGAGGTCGCGGTCGCCCGCACCCGCGTTCAGCGCCATGGTCGCTGAGGAGACGGCGACGCGCCGGAATTGACGTCACGACGCAGGAGCCCGGCTGGCAACGAGAGTCCGGGCGGATACAAAAGAGAAAGCGCGGCCGCCAAAAAGGGTCCGAGTCGCCCCCGTGAGCGGCCGCGATGGTTCCGCATGGAGAACGGAGCGGGGGGGGGTGTCCCCAAGCCTAAGCCTTGTCCTGAGGTGACCCCCCCCTTCACCTCCCCCCCGAAAGGACGAAGCGCACAAGGAGAGTCAGTGAAAACCTTTATTTTGCTGGAAAATGGGGGGAAAAGGGTGAGGGGGGACCCCCCTGGAGGGAAAGGGGTGTGTGAGGGGGGTCCCAATCCATAGGGAAGGGGCAGCAAAGCCCCGGGGGGGGGGGGGTGTGAGGGGGAAGCTCCGTACAAAAAAAGGGGGCTCACGGGCTCCATCCGAGGCCGCCGGACCTGGAAGAGAGCAGAGAGGTGAGAGGGGGGCCCGGGGCCGCCGGCGGTGCTGGGGGCGGAACGGTCGGACAGACGGGGACGCGGCGGTGACGGTGGCGACGGCGCCCGCTCCGGTGCGAGAGGAGGAGGGGGGGGGTCCGCGTTCTCCCCCCCCCGCGGCCCCAGTGACGGGAGAGGGAGCGCGGCGACGGCGGTGACGGCGGCGGCGGCCCGGGGCACGTCTGACCTGACGCAGCGGCGTCCCAGGGAGGGGGGGGGGGGCTCCAGCGGCAGCGGCGCATCCCCAATGCTCCGCGGTGCTCCACCGCGGCGGTGCCTCCTGCCGGGGAAAGAGCCGTTACCCGCCAGCACCGGCACCACCGGACAGGCCCTGACGGCCGCCACGGTGCCCGGTTATCTGCTGAGCATCCCTGGTGAATGCCAGCGGCAACAGGTGGGAGCCGAGCTCCGCCGTCGGTAGCACCGGGGGCTCCGGCGGCGCTCACCTATGGCTCAAAAGGCAGAGTACCGCGCTCGCTCCCCATACGGGTCCCGCTCGAACCGCTGCAGGTCATAGAGGGAAGCCCGGGCCACCGA